ATTATTAATAATACCAAATTAATTTATTGTCAAAGGCTTTCATGGCTGGAATCACTGGGTTGTTGTAAGTTTTTTGGGCTTTATTACCATGTTCCAGAAGCATTCTCTCCTGATGTTTTGCCTGCATCTATGGCAGGCATCCTCAGAGGTTGTGAGGACCTCACAACCTCTGAGGATGCCTGCCATAGATGCAGAGGAAATGTCAGGAGAGAATGCTTCTGGAACATGGCCATACAGCCCAAAAAATGTTCAAAAAACCAAATTAATTAGTTCTTTAAAAACAATTAAATAAAATGCATGACAATAATGTTTTATGTTGGGACGATGCTGGTGAAAGGGAGGAGTTTGCACTGCCAAACATGGCTTGAAGCTGCAGAAACAGCATTTTTTTGCCCCCAATGCAAGAATTTGTTATTGTTTTCTTGTAACATGGTGGGTGCCTGCAATCCAGATTCAGAGGAGTCACCATTGGTCCTTTTAGATTCCCATTGATCGTAAAATGAACCCTAATTTCAGTACCACCACCACCAAAAATACATAAGAAACACCTGCGATTCTAAGATGCATTCCATTTTAGAGATGTTTATATTGGGAAAAGGTGTAACTTATGACTGAAGAAATATAGTATATAATGAAAGTGTTGATATAGTGCTTTTACTGCCACAGGTCTGTCCTAAGGAGTCCTGAATTTAACAATTTAGGAGGGGGCATATAGAAATCTCAAGTCTGAATACCTTAAAGGCACCAGATCCCCTCTGATCTTGGAAACTAAGCAGAGTCAGCTCTTGTCAGTATTTGAATGGGAGCTCGCCAATGGATACCAAACGCTCTAGGTTAAATTTCAGAAGAAGGATCTGACAAAACCACCTTGGATTATTCATTGCCTAAGAAAACTTTGTGAAATTCATGGAGTCCCTATAAGAGGCAGCTTGAAGACACACAAGCACACATGTTGAGGATTTTCGGACAGAGTAGTCTAGTGATTTGTTGTTCTTTTGTGTGTTCACGTTATTGTGTACCTATGGCAGCTCTAATGGATGCCTATTGTTGACAAGATTTGTTGACAAGATTTACACCGCAATGAGTCGCCCTTGGGCTGAGAATTGCGGCATATAAGCAAAGTAAATAATAAAAATAAATAATAATAATTTATTTTGAACATGCTTACCTTTGCTTTCCTCTGAGGCTGAGAGAGCATGACTTGCCCAAGGCCACCCATGGGTTTTCCGAGGCTGTTAGTATCTAAGGCAGTGGTTCTTAACCTGGAGTCCCCAGATGTTTTTGGCCTCCAACTCCCAGAAATCCTCACAGCTGGTGAAGTGGCTGGGATTTCTGGGAGTTTTAGGCCAAAAACTTCTGGGGACCCCAGGTTGAGAACCACTGATCTAAGGATTTACCAGATAGGAATAGCATGTTGTCTAACATGGCTATGTCTTTGAATTTAACCCACAGTAAGGTCAGCAAACCTTCTGGTAATTGGGTTGTTGTAAGTTTTTTGGGTTGTGTGGTCATGTTCTAGAAGCATTCTCTCCTGACGTTTCACCTGCATCTATGGCAGGCATCCTCAAAGGTTGTGAGGTCTGTTGGAAACTAGGAAAATTGGGTTTATATGTCTGTGGAACATGCAGGGTGGGAGAAAGAACTCTTGTCTGTTGGAGCTAGGTGTTAATGTTTCAATTGGCCACCTTGATTAGCATTTGAGAGCCTGACAGCTTTTAGGTGTGACTTGTTACTGCCTGGGAGAATCCTTTGCTGAGAGGTGATTAGGTGTCCCTGATAGTTTCTTGTCTGGAGTACCCTTGTGTTTGAGTGTAATTCTGGTAATTGTCTTGGTCAGGGGTCCTCAAACTTTTTAAACAGAGGGCCTGGTCACAATCCCTCAAACTGTTGGAGGACCAGGTTATAATTTGAAAAAAACATGAATGAATTCCTATGCACACTGTGCATATCTTATTTTAGTGCAAAAACACTTAACAACAATACAATAATTAAAATGAAGAACAATTTTAACAAATATAAACTTATTAATATATTAATGGGAAGTGTGGGCATGCATTTGGCTGACGAGATAGAGTAGTAGTAGTAGTTGTTGTTGTTGTTGTTGTTGTTGTTGTTGTTGTGTGCTTTCGAGTAATTTCAGACTTAGTTTGACCCTGAATGAGGGCCTTGTAAATGACCTTGGAGGGCCGTATCTGGCCCCTAGGCCTTAGTTTGGGTACCCCTGGTCTTGGTGGTTGATTCAGAAATGCCAGTTCAAATCTGTACAGGGCAAAATAAGGAACATGTAGCTTTCCAGATACTCCTGGACTCTCATCTCCCATCATTCCTTGCAATTAGCTGTTTTGAGCTGATGGGAGCTGTAGTCCAACAAAATCTGCAGGGCCATATGTTTTGGATCCCTGGTTAAAGGTCAAGGCAATCACTTAGAATTGCAACTGGACACAGACTAGGAGCCCGCGGAGTTCTTTATTAGCTCTTAATGCCATGGCGCCCCGGACCGCCACCTTGTCTCCCTCCTGGATTGTGAATCAGCTGAACTTTCCAAAGACTTTCCAAAGGCAGGCCTATATATCATACATCACACAAATCAAGCCTGGATCTTAATGAAAAGCAAGGATAACTCCAGGGTGAGATCATTTCTTGGCAGGAGCTGGGGAACTCCTGGAACTCTTCTGAAGTGGGGGAAGCTTTGGATTCTTCTGGTGGGTTGAGCAATACTTCTGGATCAAGAGCTTGCCCAGATTCTAAGGCTGTGTTTGCTTAGGGAGCAACCAATTCATATAATTGGGAATAGCAGCATGCAAAGGGATCTTGTTACACCTTAAGATACTCCCTTTGCAGTCTGATATTCCAGATATTATCATTGCTGTGTCTTTGATTTGTATAGACTCTTCTTCATGACTGATTCCACCCACCAACAGTACATTCAGTCTGGCTCCATCCCATAATGAACTCGGGCATCTGTTCAGTACCTCATTGTAATTATTTTGGGGTGCATCACATGTGTTGCATGTAGCCCCTAGGGCCATTTTTATTACCCCCATTGATCCTTTGAAAAGAGGATCCCCCCAAACCCTCGGAAGGGTATGGAGGATTTTCTCCACATTTTTTAGTCTCTCTTAGCCATTTTAGCTCCCCTTCCCCCAAAAAAACTTTTACCTAAAATGAGTAAGTGACTTGTAAAAGCCTTCTTCTTGACCTAAAATAGTTCAGATGAGGCACCCCCCCCCCACATTCCTAACTGGGATTTAGGGGATATTTTTACCCACACATTACATCAGTGGTTTTCAACCTTCCTAGTGCCATGACCTCCGTCATCCAGTTCCTCATGTTGTGTTGATGCGCAACCATAAAACAATCATAGTTATGAAGTAGCAACGAAAATAATTTTATGGTTGGGGGTCACCACAACGTGAGGACCTGTATTAAGGGGTCACAGAATTAGGAAGGTTGAGAAACACTGGTTTATAGGTTGTCCATGATATGATGATTTCCGAGAATAAGAGATAGAATGTATTGCTCATTCTGGACCAATATTCCATGGAGTTTTCAGAAGCAAGCTTGTGATTTTTAAATATATATACACATAGTGGAGGTATTGGTTTTGAATCAGAGTTTGGTTGAAGTTGGATTGTTGTAGGAAAATTGGGTTTATATGTCAATCAGATATATAAACCCAATATTCCTAGTTTCATAGAATCATAGAGTTGGAAGAGACCTCATGGGCCATCCAGTCCAACCCCATTCTGCCAAGAAGCAGGAATATTGCATTCAAATCACCCCTGACAGATGGCCATCCAGCCTCTGTTTAAAAGCTTCCAAAGAAGGAGCCTCCACCACACTCCGGGGCAGAGAGTTCCACTGCTGAACGGCTCTCACAGTCAGGAAGTTCTTCCTCATGTTCAGATGGAATCTCCTCTCTTGTAGTTTGAAGCTATTGTTCCTTGTCGTAATCTCCATGGAAGCAGAAAACAAGCTTTCTCCCTCCTCCCTGTGGCTTCCTCTCACATATTTATGCATGGCTATCATATCCCCTCTCAGCCTTCTCTTCTTCAGGCTAAACATGCCCAGCTCCTTAAGCCGCTCCTCATAGGGCTTGTTCTCCAGGCCCTTTATCATTTTAGTCGCTCTCCTCTGGACACATTCCAGCTTGTCCATCAGACCTCACAACCTCTGAGGATGCCTGCCATAGATGCAGGCGAAATGTCAGGAGAGAATGCTTCTAGAACATGGCCATACAGCCTGAAAAACCTACAACAACCCAGTGAATCCAGCCATGTAAGCCTTCGACAATACATTGATTGAAGTTCTTTTCACATTAAAAAGCTAGTCAGACATACTGTGGGATACGATGTTCTTGAGTGTCTGCTAAGTCACTGTTATATATTTTTTCCATTTTCTGATGTGCTCGTGAAGTGCCGCAACCTTAGAGAGGTAGGAAAAAAGTGGTCAGTATTATTTGCTGAAGAATAAATAGATGCCAAGGTATTAAAGGTGGTTGTCTTCATCTCCCCAAACCTGTGTGAGGCAGGCACATGCGGATGGGTTTTCAGGCTGGACCGTGTGCTCCCCAAAGAGTCCTGAAGCCTACAGTGGAAATTCCCTTTCGTTTCTGGAGTGGGACCAAGCTCACCCTCCCCTGTTTCGGTTATGAAACAAAATGAAAACAAATAGAGCCATTATTCTCTGGACAAAAGCTTTTGCTACTCTTTGGCACTTAGTGGAAGTGAATAGATGGCCAGCAGACAAGGGATACAATGCAGTTTCCTTCTGTGTGATATTGTGCAAACCGATGCCTTTTTCAAAGCCCATCTGAGTGTGACTTGCTTCATTTAATGTGTAAACAATTAGTTTTCTTGTCAGCTTTGAAAGCTTTTTTGGCCCTCCTCTTGGTCTTAAGTGTATCTGGGTGGAAGAGGAGGCACTCACCTGCTTAGGAATGAAGAAGCCACAATTAGGACTCAGAACTGACCATTTTCTTGTTTGTCTTTTCTTTCCAGGGACGTGAAAGCTGGAAACATTCTTTTTGGAGAAGATGGCTCTGTTCAGATTGCAGGTGAATATTTCTCCTTTGTGCTCTCAGGGTGGGTCCGAGAGAAAATACCGTGGCCTGGTGTGGAGAAAAACAGAGGCACTCTCCTTAAGATGCATCATTTTTTTTCTGGAATTGGAGAAGTTACTTTCTTGGTGTAAAATCCCAGTTCAGTGGAGAAAGATTTATGTGTAAATGAAAGGCTGGAAAAAAATGCTTTTGGACAATCATTCCCAGAATATTTTAACCAGGAACATCCCAGTGGCCACGATATACCTGGGATTTGGGAGTTGTGATCCAAAGGAGTAACATTCCCAAAAGCTGCTGTTCATGGGTCATAGCCAGTGCTGAAGGTGGCTCCTCATCTGCACCTCACAGAAATGTATATAAACACATCTTCAAACAGCCTAGCTTGGAAACCATCTAGAAATGGGTTGGTTGCTGGTTCCAACTTTCTTAGATGTTGGTCTTAGTGTCGGTTTTTGTCCCCTTAGATCAGTGGTTCTCAACCTCTGAGTCCCCAGATGTTTTGGCCTTCAACTCCCAGAAATCCTAACAGCTGGTAAACTGCCTGGGATTTCTGGGAGTTGTAGGCCTGGGGACCCACAGGTTGAGAACCACTGCCTTAGACCAAAGAAAGACTCCAATTGTCTGGATTTTATTTGATTTGCTTTGCTTTATCTACAATTGGTTGCTGTGAGTTTTCTGGACTGTATGGCCATGCTCCAGAAGCATTCTTTCCTGAGATTTCACCCACATCTATGACAGGCATCCTCAGAGGTTGTGAGGTCTGTGGAAACTAAACAAGTGAGGTTTATATATTGGTGGAATGTCTAGGGTGGGAGAAAGAACTCTTGTCTGTTTGAGGCAAGTGTGAACGTTGCAATTGATCACCTTGATCAGCATTGAATAGCCTTGTAGCTTCAAAGCTTGGCTGCTTCCTGCCTGGGGGAATCCTTTGTTGGGAGGTGATTAGCTGGCCCTCATTATCTCTTGTCTCGAATTCAGCAAAGAACAAGGGGCATTCTCTCACCTCTTCTGGAACATGGCCATACAGCCCAGAAAAGTCACAGTAACCCAGTGATTCTGTCATGAAAGTCTTCAACAACACATTTATCTATAATGCTTACAAGAGATTTTTTCCTTTCTCCAAACCTTGTACTCTTGGATCCAGACCTGAACCTGGACGGCCAGGTTTCAGTGGTTTATTTATTTATCGTGTTAGGGGCAACCAGACAATTGTATTACATTTCTAGCAGAACAAAACAAACAAACAAACAAACAGACAGACAAAACACAAAGTTTGCAAGCTTGGTAGTTGATTAAATGTCCTTTGACCAGTATCTGGCCACTTGGAGTGCCTCTGGTGTTGCCGTGAGAAGGTCCTCCATTGTGCATGTGGCAGGGCTCAGGTTGCATTGCAGCAGGTGGTCAGTGGTTTGCTCTTCTCCACACTCGCATGTCGTGGATTCCACTTTGTAGCCCCATTTCTTAAGATTGTGGTGCCAGAACGCAGTCTGTTCAGCGCCTTCCAAGTTGCCCAGTCTTCTTTGTGCCCAGCGGGGAGTCTCTCATTTGGTATCAGCCATTGGTTGAGGTTCTGGGTTTGAGCCTGCCACTTTTGGACTCTCGCTTGGTGAGGTGTTCCAGCGAGTGTCTCTGTAGATCTGTAGGTTTCAGTGGTGACCAGGATTATCCTTGCACAACAAATGCGAATGCAGATGTCAGGAACACATGCTTTAATTATATATACCCCATTTGCACTGCTTAAAGTTGTTCAACATGAGGCTGCCTTTGGAAGTGGTTAGAAACCTCAGCTAGTCCACAATGCTGAAGACTATTGCCTGGGAGCAAGTAATGCCTTTGCTACAATAGCTTTATTGGCTCCTGGTCCTTTTCTAGGCACAGGTCAAAGAGCTCGTCATGACCTATGCATCCCTATATGATTTGCGACAAGACTGTTTGAAATACCGTATTCTCCCATAATGAAGATGCATTTGAGGCCGTTGCATGAAGCAAGTCATTGTCTTGTCCCTCCTCGACGCCACTGTCTTTGGACTTGCTGTAATTACACTAGAGCTCTTTTAAGTATTCTTGGGAATATGAGTTCTTTATTGGCTGATACTCAGTAGGCAATGACTGTAGTATAAATTAAGATCGCCTGTCTTTTTTCGCTTCATCTTCTTCCAGAATCACTTAGCTGTGTGAGAGCATCTGAATATCAAAGGGCCACCCGAGCGTCTAGGCTCGCCTTTTAAGCAAGCTCCTGAATCCGTAATGATGCTTTGACTGGAAATCCATTGTCGATATCCCAGAAGGAGCCTTTGTGTTCTGAGCTAATGACTTCCCTGCTTGTGTGCTTTGATACCACAAATAAGATCATCACGTGTTCCATTCATGTTGTGTTTAGATAAAACTGAAATCCATTGAAGCTCTATTCACATGTAGGTTTAACCAGCTGTGCGAGTGCTAGTAGTCTGTAGATGAGGAAATCCACAAAATTTGGAATAGAGGGTGACATTCTGTTTCCTGATAATTCATCTTACAGTAATTCCATTACAATTGTTGGCTATTTGGATTGAAAATATGGGCATTTTATGTGTTGACATTGTCCAGAAACATCTCAAGAGTTGACTGATGGGAATAGGTATTCTGAAGCAAGGGAGATAATGTTGAGTTCAGGGCTACATCAAGTGGTAGGGAAAACATTTTCTTCCCTGAAAAGGGCCATCATCTCAAAAGGTTTAGAGGGCTTCTTTCCATGTGCAAAATCAGAAATTCTATTGGAGAAATTCCTTGGAGATATGCTGCCCATCCCAAAAGACTTCATGGAGCCAAGTGGCCCACTTTAGGAGACCATTAAAGCTCTGAGATATTCTGGATGGATCGTCCCCTCTACCCACAATGTTGTTTGGTGGGAACAAAGTAGAGAGGGCCTTATAAAGTGTATTTTTGCAAGGATCTGGTGGGAAGAGGGTTGTGGACCTCCAGGGTTTTGTAGAAGACTAATATGGCTCCCTTGCGTCTCAAACTTGCCCACCACTGTTGTTGGAGACTTAGTGATAAAGGCTTTCTCTGGGGCTGTTGCTTTGCATCTGACTAAAAGTATATAGCAGGATACTTCTTTATTGTCCTCCCTCTCCATTCAACAGCTATATTAGGGTTTCCTTGAAGGCAAGGAATTAGTCTCAAAGGGGATGGGTGTCATTTATGAGTGAGGTCATAGATTCCTCCATCCACCAGGGCCACAAAAAGTCATAAGTCATGTATCTCATTTTGATGTAATTTGTGGATTTGTTTCTTTGTTGGCACCCAATGCTTGCCGTATGTGTTGGAAACTGCCCTGAGTCCCCTTGGGGAGATAGGGCAGTCTAATAATAATGATGATGATGATGATGATAATAATAATAATAAACCTGGGATTGCAACATCGACAATCCATATATCATGTTAAAAAAAAGTATGGATTGTCAATGTTGCACTTCCAGGTGACAGCAGGATTGAAGAGAAACAATTGAAAAACATGACACGATATAAGGATTTAAAGATTGAACTGCAAAGACTGTGGCACAAACCAGTAAAGGTGGTCCCAGTGGTGATCGGCACACTGGGTGCAGTGCCTAAAGACCTTGGCCTGCACTTAAACACAATCATCTCTGACAAAATTACCATCTGCCAGCTGCAAAAGGCCACCTTACTGGGATCTGCATGCATTATTCACTGATACATCACACAGTTCTAAACACTTGGGAAGTGCCCGATGTGTGATCCAATACAACAGCCAGCAGAGTGTCTGCTGTGGACTCGTTTTGTTGTGTTTCAAATAATGATAATAATAATAATAATAATAATAATAATAATAATAAGTAGTAGTAGTAGTGCAGACCTTGGCCTGCACTTAAACACAATTGGCGTTGACAAAATTACCATCTGCCAGCTGCAGAAGGCCACGTTACTGGGATCTGTATGCATCATTTGCCGATACATCACACAGTCCTAGACACTTGGGAAGTGTCTGACATGTGATCCAATACAACAGCCAGCAGAGTGATCTTTTCTGCTGTGGACCCATCTTGTTGTGTTTATAAAAGGTAAAGGTTGTCCCCTGACATTAAGTCCAGTCATGTCTGACTCTGGGGTGTGGTGCTCATCTCCATTTCTAAGCCGAAGAGCCAGCGTTGTCCATGGACACCTCCAAGGTCATGCGGCCAGCATGACCGCATGGAGCGCCGTTACCTTCCTGCTGGAGCAGTACCTATTGATCTACTCACATTTGCATGTTTTTGAACTGCTAGGTTGGCAGAAGCTAGGGCTGACAGCGGAAGCTCACGCTGCTCCCTGGAATCGAACCTGCAACCTTTTGGTCAACAAGCTCAGCAGCTCAGTGCTTTAACCCACTGCGCCACCGGGGGCTCCACTGTGTTAATAATAATAATAATAATAATAATAATAATAATAATATAATTTTATTACAAGCCAGCATGTGTGACATATGCCCACATGTGTCTATACTCTGACCACTTAAATCAGTTTCAAAGCAGTATTGAAGAAAGTAGTTTTGCTGTGCAGCTAATTACATAGGAAATCCTGAAACCAGTTTTAGGCCTGGATGGTGATTACAAAAATCAAAGTTGCCCATTAAGGGCTTTCTTTCACACCCTTTTCCTTGGGGATAGTGGATCATGACCTGTTAGGATCACTGACCATCAGAGTATGGATCATGAACTGTTAAGATCACAACCTAATCAGAGTAGCATAATTTATTTGGTAATAGATGATAGCTGGGCATGTAGATGTTTTGTTTCTGCTTGATGCTTTTTTCAGCAAACAAGGATGCAAACAGACATCTTTTAGAGATAACAAGTTTTGTTTACTGATAATTTTATGTATTTAAAGATGCAGGCACATTTCTTGTCAAGTAAAATTCAGTAATGTTTCACATACTTTGTATCTTGAATTTATAATTTCTTCGTAAACTATGTTGCTTTAAACAACTCCCTTTAGTAAGAGTTTACTTTCAAATA